GGGGGGGGAGGGGTAAGAGAGGCGGTTGCCGTGGAGACGCGGGCGCGGGGCGGAGTTGCCGCTCCAGCGCGTTACGTCACTCTCCGTTGGAAAATGGCGTCTCCCTGCGAATTTGGGGGCCCCGGGAGTAAGTAGGCGGAGTAGAGGCTTCGAATGGGGCAGAGAGCTGGGTTAAAAACGCCATCCCAATTGGCTAGGACCAAACCTGGGCCTTCCCTCGCAGCCCTGAGGCTTGTGGGAAATGTAGGCTGAGCTCAGTCGCCTCATTCGATGGTACCTGTGGAATACGAGTCCCAGAAAGCCCAGCGTCAGTTGGCGCGCATGCGTCGAAGCCTAGGTGCTCGCCCTAAAATGCAGGCGGCAGGAGAAGGGAATGCCATCACCGCTGTTCGTGTTGCGCGTGCGCCTTAGGCCACTGCAGTGGAGGAGGACCAGTGACGCGTTACCTTGACTCCAGCTCCTGGAAGCTTCTGCGCACGCGCCTGCGCAGTTCCTCTTCCTCTTCACCGAGAGTTTTTGGGTTATTCGCGCGCAGTGGCCAGTGCCGGTGAGGAATGGAAACGGGGGAGCCAGTTTACAGTCGGAAAAACTGGAGGAGGGAGGCGCCAGTGCAGAGGACGGACCTTGGACTTAGCGCTTTGGAGAGCGTGGAGGCCTGCCCGGAGGAGGCGACTCTCAGCGGGGAGCCTGGGAGTAGGTGCGGGACGGGGAGCTGTCCAGGGTCCCAGAGCCTCCGGAGCGTTTCTGCTTTTGACAAAAGGACAGACGTTTGTCCAGGAGGCCAGACGTGCTGTTTTCCCCGTCTTTGGGAAGCCTGCGCCCCCAGAGAGCTTCTCCCCTCGTTTCCCTGGGAGAGCAGAGTGCGGGGATGGGGGAAGCGCATTCCCCTCTTCTGGACACTCATAGACACGGAAGCCTGAGAATGACGGGAAGCTAATGTGGCACCTGAAGAGATGGGGGGCGGGGGGCGCCCCACCCCAGGCCATGAAGGCTAACCCTAAGTGGAGGTGCTGGGGTGGGGTGCCCTTCTGAGGGTCTTGGGCTCCATAGTCCTCAGGGTAAATCAACATGAGTACTTTTCGGTTTGTTTTTGTAGAGTAGGACAGGGCTATCTATATAGAAAGAAATACCTCCTGGAGTCAGCCAGTGCTTGTATTCGTGCAGATTTTTGTGCTTTGGGCCCAAAATTGAGAACAAGACAGGCAGATTTAGCAGCAAGAAAAAAGGGTCCAGTGTCACATCTTGACACATATGGTGTGCCTCTCCTCCCTCCAAGGAAAACAGAAATGCTAGCAACACGTTTTCCAAAAGCAGAGAAAACATTACAAAATATTTCCATGCTCTTTCCCACACCCCCATCAAAACCCAAACAAAAATAAGGTACAGCCCCCATCAGTGTCCAGAAAAGAGCCAAGTTCTTGCTTCCTACAAAGTAACTCTTGACCTCCAGTCTCAACTGACCTCCACCGGACCCTCATCCTCTTTATGAACCACTGAGCTGCATTTGTACCTTCCTGGAGGAAGAGGAGGCTGCGCCTCTCTGCAGGCGTGGGCGCTGTGGACCACCCTTCTCCTCCTTGATCACCTCCTCTCTCTAGGTTTTTGGGACAACTCTCTCTCCTGGTTCTCCTCTTACCTCTCCAACAGCCACTTCTCTGTCTCCTTGTCTGGATCTCGGGCATCTGGGCAACTCTTTCAGACTATGCTGCCTTGCAGAAAAGATGCTGGCCTGCTGTGAGAACCAGACATCTTCACTAGGCACTCTCTATGCTAATAAAATTCCAGTTTTGGTGAAAAAGGAAATAATGCACTCTATTTTTCCATTGGTGCGTCTCTTAGCTTCTTACTAATTCTGACCAAGTCTGGGGTCCGACTGGATGCCCACACACTTCCAGCTTCCTCTTTTGCACCAACATCCGAGGATGAGTTGTGTCCCTGGCCCCTTCTTGTCCAGTCTCCTTCAGAAGCTTGCTCCTCCCCACCTAATGTTTCATCTTC